TAATCAGCCAATCACATGGTAGCAACTCAGTGCATTTAGGCATCTAGACGTGGTGAAGACGACTTACTGAAGTTCAAACTGAGCATCAGAATGGGGAAAAAAAGGGAATTTAAGTGATGGGCTGGTCTGAGTATATCAAAAACTGCTGATCTACTGGGATTTTCATGCACAACCATCTGTAGGGTCTACAGAGAATGGTCCAAAAAAGAGAAAATATCCAGTGAGCAGCAGTTGTGTGTACATAAATGCCTTGTTGATGTCAGAGGTCAGAGGAGAATGGGCAGACTGGTTTGAGATGATTGAAAGGCAACAGTAACTCAAATGCTCACTTATTACAACCAAGGTATGCAGAATACCATCTCCGAACGTGCAACACATCGAACCTTAAAGCAGATGGGCTACAGCAACAGAAGACCGCACCGGTGCTAGTACACCCATCATCTGATGGCTACTTCCAGCAGGATAATGCTCCATGTCACCAAGCTCAAATCATCTCAACCTGATTTCTTGAACATGACAATGAGTTCACTGTACTCCATTGGCTTCCACAGTCACCAGATCTCAGTCCAATAGAGGAACTTTGGGATGTGGTGGAATAGGAGATTCACATCATGGATGTGCAACCGACAAATTTGCAGCAACTTTGTGATGCTATCATGTCAATATAGACCAAAATCTCTGAGGAACGTTTCCAACACCTTGTTGAATCTAGGCCACCAAGAATTAAAGCAGTTCTGAAGGCAAAAAGGGGGAGTCCAACCTGGTAGTAAGGTGTATCTCTGCTGAGTCAGAATGAGATCTACTATCAGCAGGGGGCATGAACTTAGCTGACTCGGAGCTACATGTCCAATTCGTTGGGGGTGAGGAGGCAAGTCAGACCTCTTCATTGGGGAGAGGTGTGTTGGACCTCTCTGCCAGGGGCGGACTGACAACTCATGGGGCCCCCGGGCAATAGGGATCATGGGGCCCCTGTGTCCTTGCCCAAACTCAAAAAAGCCTATGAAAAAGGTACCAGGGGCAATCTCATGGGGCCCCCTACTGACCCCGGGCCCTAGGGCAGTGCCCAAGTTTCCAAATGGTCAGTCCGCCCCTGCTCTCTGCAATGAGACAACTGTTTCCCTACAAAGCACAATGGTCCCACTCTTCAGCTGCTGGTAGGTGACGGGCTTTTAGACTTTTCTTTTGGAAAATACAGCAATACCTCGGTTTAAGAATTTAATTCGTTCTGCAGGACTTTTGTTAATAACGAAAAACTCTTAAACCAAAACGCCGTTTCCCATAGGAATGCATTGAAAACCAATTAATCTGTTTCGGAGATCAGAAAAAAGTAAACACTAATAAATACCGCATGAGTTATTTTATCAAGTCGTGCGGCATTTTAGTAGTGACAACCATGTGTTAATATTTCACTGTCAGCGGGGTTCCCCACTGACAGCTGAATGTAAAAGAATTTCCGGCAATTAAAAATATAATTTAAAAAACTGCGTGGGGTCCCCCTTCCCATCCATACCAAGCCCTTCATGTCTGGTATGGATTTTGAGGGGAACTCCCAAGCCAAAATTTAAAACAAAATGGCGTGGGGGTCCTCCCCAAAATCCATACCAGACACTTTTCAGAGCTTGCAGCCTGGCAGGTCAGGAAAGGGGGGAGGCAAACAATGTTTCTTTTTAGTTTTCTTTTGGAAAATACAGTAATACCTCGGTTTAAGAATTGAATTCGTTCTGCAGGACTTTTCATATATAGCGAAAAATTCTTAAACCAAAATGCCGTTTCCCATAGGAATGCATTGAAAACCAATTAATCTGTTCCGGAGATCAGAAAAAAGTAAACACTAATAAATACCGCATGAGTTATTTTATCAAGTCATGCGACATTTTAGTAGTGACAACCATGTGTTAATATTTCACTGTCAGCGGGGTTCCCCACTGACAGCTGAATGTAAAAGAATTGCCGGCAATTAAAAATATAATTTAAAAAACTGCGTGGGGTCCCCCTTCCTATCCATACCAAGCCCTTCATGTCTGGTATGGATTTTGAGGGGAACTCCCAAGCCAAAATTTTAAACAAAATGGCGTGGGGGTCCTTCCCAAAATCCATACCAGACCCTTTTCAGAGCTTGCAGCCTGGCAGGTCAGGAAAGGGGGTTGGGCAAACAATGTTTCTTTTTAGTTTCTTAAAAGAAACAACATTTCCGTTAACTTTGGGGAAAGTGACAGCTAATTCTGTGAGCTATAGTGAAGAAAAAAAAAGCACTGAAATACACTTCGTATTGCGAAAAAAATTCATAAAAAATTTGTAAACCGAGGCATTATTTTCAGTGGATTTTCATTTGTAAACCGAAAATTACTTTAGCCCGAGGCGTTCTTAAACTGAGGTATTACTGTAAACTGTAAGTCATTGAACATCTTTTATTTTGATTAACGTGGAACACATTTAGTTGATTTAAACAAAGAGTTCAATTGAGCTTTAAAATTATAAATTTAAAACATTAATGTAAAACCGACCCCAAACGATTGCGCCCTCTTCATTCTATGTGTTGTGTTGCCATGCATGATGCATCAATGCAATGTGTCACCCAGAATCAATTCTTGATCGTAGGTCTTCTGAGAGCTCTTTTCTGCGAGGCATGGTTCACATCAGACAGTGCTTCTTGAAACCAGTAAACCCAAAACAGGTGTGTGTTTTTTTAAGGGCAGGACAGCTGTCAGCAACACATCCAATATCATCACACTGATTGGAGTCAAGGTTGGCTCACTCCTGGCTCCAATTAGCTCTGGGAAAAGTCATTAATCTAGGGCCTCACATACTTTTTCCTCCCTGCACTGTGAATGTTTACATGTTATGTGCAATTAAACCATGGCAACATCTAATGCTTGTGTAGTATTATGTTCAGCAGACTGTGTTCTTCTATTGTTGTGACTTAGATGACGTTCAGAGCACATTTTATGCCCAATTCATGCAAAACTTCACATAATCCCAAGGGGTTCACATACTTTTTCTTGCAACTGTATATATATATATATATATATATATATATAAAAAAAGATCAATGCAATGTGTTATTGAGCATCGATCGATGAAGACATTCAATTTGAAAGGGCTGGCAAGGAACCTTAATGCACTAAAAACAGACATGACCCTTTTTTTTTAACTCAACACATCATCATGAATTGGGGTTCCATCAGCGGTGGACTGACAACTCGTGGGGCCCCCGGGCACTAGGGGATCATGGGGCCCCTGTGTCCTTGCCCAAAGTAAAAAAAGCCTATGAAAAAGGTACCAGGGGCATCTCATGGGGCCCCCTACTGACCCCGGGCCCTCAAGCAGTGCCTGAGTTTCCAAATGGTCAGTCCGCCCCTGGGTTCCATTCAAAATGAAAGGTTTTCTGTGGGTCGTGGTAAAGCTTGCGTTGTACAGCATGTTACCACAATCAAATAAAGCGAATGGTTCCTTATAGTTTCCTTTTTAGTAGTACAGTTCATTTATAATTGTTATATACAGTACATATTTAGATAGGTACTCTTTAAAGATGGACTTAGTCAATATACTGTAGCACCTAGTCTTGTAGGAACTCAACTCTGTTTTTTACTACATGTACCCTACCCAAAGGCCTAGTCATTCCAAAGAAATTTTCATTAGGGAATTTAATTAGGTTTTGCTACCACATGCATGAAAATGAGGGGAAATATTGACTTCTATAGTAGTAGTTCCTCAAACGGCTACATACTTTTTAAGATAAGCTTTAGTGAAACCACATATGATGTCTGTTATTTTTATCCTTGCATTAAACATGCTACTTTTTTTTCTAGTTCTGGATAAATTTGGGAAAAGTGCAAAACCTCTGCCAAAAGAAAGCCATCGAGAGAAGATATCATTCTTGGAATCATTAGGAGGTACATTATATGGCCGAAAGTTTTTTGGAGCTTTACCATTACACCTATATGAGCTTGTTGAATGTCTCATTATAAAACCATGGGAGTTAATATAGACCCATCCCCCCAAACAAACTCCCTTTGCAGCTATAACAGCTTCCACTGTTCTAAAAAGACTTTCCACAGATTTGGATGCGTGTCAGTGGGAATATGTGCCCTTTAGCCGAAAGTGTTTTTTTTAAGTCTGGCACTAATATTGGACAAAAAGACCTGGTTAGCAATTGGCATTAAATTTATCCCATTGGGTCTATGTGCAGACCACTGGTGTTCCCCTACAATGAACTTGTCAAGCCACAGCTCTTGCTTTATCAACCATACTGGAACAGGAAAGGGCCTTCCCCAAACAGTTGCTATAGGGTTTAATGAGCATAATTATCTAAAATGTGCCTATATGCTGTTGCATTAACAGTACCTTTCCTTGGAAACACCTGAACTTAGTAATTATTATTATCATTATTATACAGTATTTATAAAGCGCCAATAGTTCACTCAGCGCTGTACATTACAAAGGGGGACAGAACATGTGACAGAACAATAACAATACAATGCAAAACACGAGGGGATTGAGGGCCCTGCTCTTTCGAGCTTACAATCTAGGAGGAGGGGATGGTGGCACAGGAGGAGATAGCTGTGGGGGATGGAGTGGTAGGAAGAGTGGAGGAGGTCGGCAGGTTAGCAGGGGGTGGGGTAGGCTTCCCTAAAGAGATGGGTTTTCAGGGTGCGCCTAAAGGAGAGGAGAGTAGGTGATAATCTGATGGGTTGGGGCAGGGAGTTCCAGAGGATGGGTGACACCCTGGAGAAGTCCTGGAGGTGAGCATGGGAGGAGGAGACCAGGGAATAGTAATTCAGAGAGATGACCACAAATGTTTGGCCATAAAGTGCACACAAAGCCAGTTGGTGATTCAGTGCACCCTTGTCCAACCAGACCTAAATATCAGTCTTGGGTCAACCTATCCTTTTTTTAACAGGTATTGGCAATGCTTTAGTTGACTTGTTCGCTCTGTCAGCTTAATATTATATACATTTTACAGTGGACTGTGACTGTTAAATTTACTGTTGATGTCCATATCAGAATTTTTTTATAAAACTGGTTTGCCCTAGTAGATTTCTTACTATGGAACCCTTAACGTCCTTATTCCGTATGCTGTAGATGATAGGATTTAGCATTGGAGTGATCGACGTATAGACGATAGACACCGCCTTATCGGTTTCAGGAGAGAAAGATGAGCGAGGTTGTAGATAGATAAACATGATGGTCCCATAGAAGAGGGTGACAACTGTTAGATGTGAAGCACAAGTAGAGAAAGCTTTTTGCCTCCCCTGTGAGGAACGTATTTTCAAGATTGTAGTGATAATATGGGCATATGAGATTACAGTCAACAGGAAAGCACATAAACAAATGATCCCAGCTGCAATGTACATGGATAATTCGTTGAGTCTTGTGTCTTTACAGGACAAACGTAAGAATGGAGGCACCTCACAAAAGAAGTGGTTGACATGGTGGGACCTGCAGTAGGGCAATTGGAAGGTGAGGAAAACCTGAATTGCGGCATTTACTAAGCCACCACTCCATGCTGTTAATGCTAAACCAGTGCATAGCTTTTTGTTCATGATGGAGTTGTAGTGCAACGGTTTACAAATCGCTGCAAACCTGTCATAGGCCATCACAGCAAGCAATAGGCATTCCGTTGCTCCAAGGACTAAAGTGAAGAACATCTGGGCTGCACAGCCATCTAAGGAAATACTTGTGTCCTTGGAGAGGGTGTTGGTTAAAAGTATGGGAACAATGGAGGAGGAGAAACAAAGGTCAATAATGGAGAGGTTACTTAGGAAAAAGTACATGGGGGTGTGTAGCTTTGGGTTAATAATCACCACAAAGATCAGAAGAAGATTTCCTGATATGGTAATTAGATATATCACCAGGATAGCAAGGAAGCAGACCACCAGGAGGTCAGGGTCACTGACAGACAGCCCAAGCAGATAAAATTTTACAGATGTTTTGTTTGTTTGTTCCATAAAAAGTGCTTGCTAGATCTAAAAACAAAAAATTAAAGTTAGCCATATACATTCACTGAAGTAGATATAATATTTGTATACCACCGCCCAGTAAAATACCAGTTTAAGGGGTTTTAAAATTCTCATTAACTGTAATTATCCAGGAATTTTTGAAGACTCTAGCCAATGGTTAAATAGACCATGTCACTTTGACCTGAAGGCTCACCCCTTGACCCAATATTCCTACCACCTCCTCACTTTCCCCTTCTACTCTATTCTTCAAAAACAACTGAGAGTCCTAACTCTGGCAATTGGCCACCCATGCCTGCGCAATGAATTCTCGATGATTCTCCATACTAGAAAGCATTTGTAATTTGCAAAGGTTCCAAGGGAGAAGGAGAGAGCAGTGAAGGTGAGTTTGAGTGGGCTAGGTGGTGAGCATTATACTTTTCTATGCCATGTGCATTTTTCGTGCACATGTTCAAATAATCATTTTAGGCCGTAGGATGAGTTGAAACCCCCAAATATTATAAGCAGTATTTTCTGAAAGCAGGCACCCATGGTTAGTCCTGCTCCAATATCCAGGGCTTCTGGCAAGGTGTGGTTGCTGATCTTTATACTATTTCAGAAGTACAGTTCCCTTTGGATCCTGTCTTTCTTCTGTTGGGTGTGGGTGACAACCTTGAGGCTTCCTTTCATCAGAGGTGCTACCTTCTCTATGAGGCTTTCTATGCACTGAAAGGTATTCTGTTTAAATGGAAAACTGCAGAGTTCCCCATAGTCCAACAGTGGAAAACTGCGGTGAATCAAGTGCTTCCTTTATACAAACTGATTTATATGGGTCACAAATCCTCCCAAAAAAATGTAAGAAAATCTGGGGTCCTTGGGTAGAAGCTAGGGGGCTATCCTTGTGAGCACCATATGGATGCTATCCTCTACATTATTACATGGCATTTATATAGCGCCAACCGTTTACGCAGCGCTTTACACCATAAGGGCATATTGAATGATGCATGGAATTTGAGGGACCTGCTAACTGATTTCTGTTGTTTGAATATGGTTTCTGTCCACAAGTGAATGTGCAGAAATTGTGCTGCAAAGCATTCTGTAGATAACGAGTAAACACAAAGCCCCTGTATAATCTCCTTTATATGGTATTATTTACAGGTTAATTGATCCCTATGGGTGACAAATGTGAGAAAACATGATCTACACTGAGAAACTCCCAGCTCCGTCAGGTCTCTAGAGCTTTGTAATCTTTTACTTTGTAATAATACCCTTTGTAAATATGAAACTATTTCTGTAATTAGATGTCGTTAGAAGTATTTATTATTATTGGTACATACCTTTTTTTAACCTAACGGGAAACTAAATGCCTTGCTTGAGTGGCAACTGGTCATGTTCCCATGGTAAAAGGATGCAGAGGAGGTCCTGAAGGGGTGCAGAGAACAAAATGATTATGGACTGGGGGGGGGAAGGGACAAATATGAACTGCCATTTTTCCATCTACAAGAAGAATGGTTGGTTCAAACCCTTTCTCCTGACGTGTTAAAGGCTTAGCAAATGTAGGGCTCCTGCACATTTAACACCCAACTGAGCATTCAGTCTGAGAAAAGTTGAGCAAATCTCATGCTCCCTGCTTGTTAACAAATGGAAGGCCTGCTCTACCTTGTGCCTAGATAGAGAACATACCTTCACTCCCTGGTCATCTCTCGCCTCAACTACTGCAACTCCCTCCTCATTGATTTCCTTTACATAGGCTATCCCCCCTCCAGTCCATCATGAATACTGCTGCCAGGCTCATCCACCTTACCAACCGTTCAGTGTCCTCCACCCCTCTCTGCCAATCCCTCCACTGGCCTCCATTCAGTGTCCTCTACCCCCTCTCTGCCAATCCCTCCACTGGCCTCCATTCAGTGTCCTCCACCCCTCTCTGCCAATCCCTTCACTGGCTTCCACTCAGTGTCCTCCACCCATCTCTGCCAATCCCTTCATTGGCTTCCACTCAGTGTCCTCCACCCCTCTCTGTCAATCCCTCCACTGGCTTCCACTCAGTGTCCTCCACCCCTCTCTGCCAATCCCTCCACTGGCTTCCACTCAGTGTCCTCCACCCCTCTCTGCCAATCCCTCCACTGGCTTCCACTCAGTGTCCTCCATCCCTCTCTGCCAATCCCTCCACTGGCTTCCACTCGCCCAACCAATAAAATCAAAATCCTAGCAACAACTTACAAAGCCATCCACAACTCTGCCCCCAGCTACATCACCAACCTGGTCTCAAAATATCAACCAAACCGCTCTCTTCGATCCTCCCAAGACCTTATGCTCTCTAGTTCCCATGTCACCTCCTACCATGCTCGCCTCCAGAACTTCTCTCCGAGCTTCTCCCATCCTATGGAACTCTCTACCCCAACCTCTCCGACTGTCTCCTAATCTATCCACCTTTAGACGATCCCTAAAAACTTTTCTCTTTAAAGAAGTCTATCCTGCTTCTACCTAGTAAACCGCCCATTTATTTCCTCCATCAGCTCCATCCCCCTCACAACTATTACCTTTTGTATCACTGAACCCTTCCTCCTAGATTGTAAGCTCTAACGAGCAGGGCCCTCTGTATCATCTTTTACCAAAGTGTATTGTAAAAAAAAAATTTATAGAAAAAAAAATAAAAAAAAAAAAAAAAAAAAAAAAATTAAAAAAAAAAAAAAAAAAAATTTTAAAAAAAATAAAAAAAAAAGAAAAAAAAAAAAAAAAAAAAAAAAAAAAAAAAAAAAAAAATAAAAAATTCTAATTTAAAAAAAAAATGTAATAAAAAAAAATAAATTTATCTTAAAAATAAAAAAAAAACGTATTATTATACCATTGTGATAAAAAATTTCCCCCCTTATGTATTAAACATGTGAATAAAAAATCCCCATATCCCTTATGTATTATACATGGAGATCATATCCCACCCCCCCCCTTTATTGTATTATACATGGTTGTATCATATCCCCCCCTTATGTATTATACATGGTGAACATATCCCCCCTTATGTATTATAAATGGAAAAAAACAATCCCCCCTTATGTAATTCAAAAAATGTGAGATCATATCCCACCGTTATGTATGAAATAAAATGGAATCATAAACAATGTAAAATACATAAATCCCCCTTAATAAGAAATTATAAACATGGTTGATATATCCCTCGCCTAAATGTAAAAACCATGCGAGATCATAAAATCCCCCTTATAGTATAATACATGGAGAACATAACCCCCCCTTAAAAGTATACATGAGATCCAAAAAAAAAAAATAAAAAAAAAAAAACAAAAAAGATCAAAAAAAAAAAACCAAAAATAACAATCTATTAGAATAAAATGGTGATCATATCTAAAAAAATGTATTATAAATGAGATAAAATCAAAAAAAAAAAAAAAAATTAAAAGATATTACAGTGGAGCTCATATCCCCCCTTATGTATTATACATGGTGAACATATCCCCCCTTAAATTTTTATACATGGAGATCATAACCCCCTTAGTATTATACAAGGAGATCATATACCCCCTTATTTTTTATACAGGGGATCATATCCCCCCCATGTTTATACATGGAGATCATATCCCCCTTATGTATTTTTTCTGGAGATTATCCCCCTTTTTTCAAAACCCCCCTTATGTATTTTTAAAAGGTGAAATTCCCCATTAT